GCGGACGGCGAGCGCACGCGCGGTGTCGTGACAGTGATGCATATGCTGGCGTTCCGCGATCGCTCGTTCCCGCGCCATCTGTGCCTGCCTGCTGCGCTGCCACTTGCCACTTTTTGCATCGAGTAGCAAGGACGGACGGAAAGATAAAACCGGCGATGGTGTGCTTACATTTTTGAGAATGCCGAGAAAAAACAAACAAAAAAATACCGCGGCCTTGTGTCTCTCGCTTTCGGCTAGTCGCCTTGCGTCTGTTAAAGGTGAAGGTTGGGGTTGCTGTTACTGTGCTGAAAAGCGGTACCAATGACATTCGATTTTCATCGCCGCAAAAAAAAAAACAAAAAACAATCTAAATTGGAATATTCCCGGCAGCTCATACGCAGACAACGGCGTGCCCCATGCATAATTCACAAGTACACCTTAAACAACCTTGAAATCAAAGCTGGCGCGGCAGCACGGCCGGCGTGTTAAGACTTAAAGAGATGCGCTTAATGCGCATCTCTTGTCCATTTAATAGCAGCGGCCTCGCTCGCCGCCGGACACTCCCCCGACCGGTCAGCTATCGACGTGCGCAGGCAAGCCTTAATGGAAAACGCTTTGACTTTGCCCAAGTAGCTTTACGACTTCTCCAAAGTGCTGCGGCCGGGGAAATTGATGGACACGGAGGAAGGGCGGAAGGAAGCCGCCATTAAGGATGAGAGTGGCCTCTTCAAGTTATTGACGGGGGCCGCAAGTGTTTGCCGGGCGGTTGGATACGATCCCGTGGGAGGGTTATAGCTGTTCATTAAACGCACTTACTGAATTGTTCACGATGCAAGGCATCGTCGCTTGGATGACTTTTTGTTTTGCGTGAGCTAGTAAAAAACAAAAAAAATACGACTTCTCCAAAGTGCTGCGGCCGGGGAAATTGATGGACACGGAGGAAGGGCGGAAGGAAGCCGCCATTAAGGATGAGAGTGGCCTCTTCAAGTTATTGACGGGGGCCGCAAGTGTTTGCCGGGCGGTTGGATACGATCCCGTGGGAGGGTTATAGCTGTTCATTAAACGCACTTACTGAATTGTTCACGATGCAAGGCATCGTCGCTTGGATGACTTTTTGTTTTGCGTGAGCTAGTAAAAAAAAAAACCAAAACAAAAACGGTTTATTGGCACGCACCGTTGAAGTTCACTGTCAAGCTAAATATACAGCAAAGAGAATCGCGTGTAGCGTACAAGGCATAAATTCTTTATCCTCCGTGGAACACGACGACTATTTCCGTGTTTTGGCGTCAAACCCACGTGTGGAATGTGTTTTCAGTTAGAAATGTGTTCATGGAACGCGTTAAAACTTACTAGTCAAGGTACCGCTGTATGAACGCATCAGGATTGACAAATTAAAGATTGCGAATATCATTTGAAGCTACGAAAAATGAACAGTGAGCGAGAAGTTACTTTTTCTAGGGCGTTGCGTACAGGAGAGCGGACTGTGATGGTGCTTTGAAAAGGAGGACATGAAATTTGAGAAAGGCTGTTCAAAATGCATCTTTGGACTTGTCGCGATACTGAGCGGGATAAAAGTTTGGGAAAAGATGTTGGAAAAAAAAATTCACGATGACATCATGGTTACTTTTTTTTCCCCCTCCTAAAGTGTGTGCCGAGGAGACGGGGTGCGCACACGGCAGCATCCCTAAAAACTTCAGACGGGAGTAGAACAAGCAGAGCCTCTTTTAAATCCACCATGAGACATGCAAGGATGTCCCTGGGCTTACATCAGCCGTTGGGCGCACCACGCTTATACGATCGTCCGTGTTTACCAAATCTTTCTCTTGCCCAAAGAAAGGCGAGTCGATGTCCCGTCGGCTCGCCGCACGCGTTGTTGCCGAGGTTACACGCGCGTTGCATCACTCAGACCTCCAAACAAGGCTGCCGCTTCTGCAATCAAGACCTTTCTGTAAGGAGCTGTCAAGGGGGTGCGCCGAGCCCGAGGTCACAAACTGACGAACGTTGCCTCACCAATAAGAAACCTGGCACGCTGGTAGACGCTGTTGTATTTTGGGGAAAAAACAAGACACGCTCACACACACTGACAAATGTGAAGGGCTGCCTTTTACACTACCTCCAACATTGAAAAATGGTGCACCACTTAAAAGAATACCAATTAAAAACCTGATCAAAACGTGACCATTTTTAAAAAAAACGTAGTTAGCTATTGAACTAGACGCACTCCCAGGAATGCACAGGCCAGTTTTCTCGGTATCGACGCCTAACAAGCTTAATGTGAAATGTGCGGAGGAGGTGCGCCGAGCATGAGGTTATAAGCAGACCAATGTTGCCTTTCCACAAAACGTCCAACACACCATTTGAGGCAATTGTTTTACCCCACGCAATTGTGAAGCGCAGCCTTGCGCACCACTATCCGATTTCCCAAAATGGCACACCCGCAAGGAAAAAAAAAAAAAAAAAAACGGAGCTCAACACCTTCCTGTCAATTCCAAGAACGTTTTTTTTTCATGGGTTTTGATAATCCAGGCATTCAATCCTCTGTACGTCAATGTATTTTTCAATTTCACGCCCACAGTTTAGAACAGCCAGCCGCACACCCATTTCAACATCCCAAGATGGGACACCCCACAGCACACCCCCTAAACACCCAAAATCATCATGCAAATGCGATCAAAAGAAATGCAAAGTCACCATTTTGGCGTTGAAATATGCAACAAAACCTTTGTTAAAACCAAACCACATTTGATCAAACGAAAGTAACGTCCAATGTGAAACTCCAAAGACGGGCTAACAGAAATAAACATCAATGGTATGCTACACGAAACTTTCAAGCAAGTGCTCCTTTTAATTTGGAAGATAATTTAGCATCAAAGACAAAAGACAAATAATAAAAAGTACTTATGGAAATACTAATTTGGACGTTCCACGATCAATTCATTTCAAGTTTAGAGTAGGTTTGTTAGCTTTGCTAGTTTTTGAAAAAAGCCTCATTTTAGTTGAGTTTTTATCAGCTTTTTTTAAAAAAAAAAAATTTTATTTATTATTTATTATTGATATTTTATTTTATTTTTACTAGCATCAAGTTTTTTTCCCAATACGGGGTAAAAATAAATTGTTTCAGGTAATTTAAAAAAAAAAAATTAAACCATGTTTTCAATCTTTTAAAAAAAATTTCATTTAGGACAGTTTTTTTTCAATTTTAGTTCGAGTTATTTTGCTTCGCTTGCTCGAGAATATTGTCCAAGGCTAAGCATAAGACAGTTTTGTATTTGCATCTGTGAGTCCACATTCCAAACAATGACCGAATAAATCAAGAAAAATGCTCACAAACCAGAATAGTCGCGGAACCTTTTCATATTTGCGCTGATCATTTTGCTCGCCGGCGTCTTGCCAAAAATTTTCCAAGCGATGACGGCGACCGCTGCGGACAGCATTTAGAAGGACCGTCAGCTCTTTCATCTTTCAACTTGAGTGACAGTTCAAAGATGGCAAAGCCTTGTGACATCGCTTCTTTTCTTCTCGTCACAAACGGCAAAATCCTTGTGACATTTGTTAGTCGCCTACAGATCGTTTCAAACACGCCAACTTTTTTTTTTTTTTTTGGACAGTCGAATGCCTAATGTCAAGAATGTGCGAATTTGTGTCGAAACAAACACGTGCCGAATAGATGTTTGCCGTCGGGTGGAAACCTTTTGTCCAAAACTCCAAATACGCTCAACTCGATATTTTGGCCGACGAGGACGAGCTGAGGGACAGGTGACAGATTTGAGTTTTCCACACACCCGCACACACACAGCAGACAGACGGAGCTCCATGCAGAGCGCGTTCCATCAAGCTCCGCCCACCTGACATGAAGATGCATGGATGCAGCGCCCCAACCGCCAGCCTCGGCGCACCCACGCACCCCCGCGCGCACACCCCGGATTGGATTCGCTCTGGGTTTGCTGGCAATATAAAAGCACGCTAAAGGTTTCTCACCGGATCCACCAAACCTTAAATGATACTCCACCTTAACGACGCGCGTCGTCACAACTGCCCCCTCCCGCTTTTGTTTTTTGGGTGGGTTACGATCGTTGCGGTAAAACCAGGATAGCATATCAAATGACTCGTATTTCCAATTCAGATGTTCAATTGTTGTTTGGAATAGATTTGGCATCTGTGGGGAGGACGGCGGCGCACTGGCAAATCTTTTCGTGCTGCAGTATTACACAGGACGGCGAGGGTCAAAACTGCTTCGTAAGCTGCAGTATTATGTTTCCTTATTCCTGTGAGTATTGTGAAATCGGATTGGACTACCACACCATCAATGGTGGTTTTTTATTGTGTTAGCAACGAGCTAAATTAAGTTAACGTGGTTGGATGCTAATCTATTTATTGATTTTTGTATGAGCTTTTGACTATTTTTGCCCAATATTTTACTGTTTTGTATTTTTCCCAATTGAATATATTTTTACGCTTTGTTTGATGCTTTTCTTTGACAGAAGTGCAGGAATTTTTCCATCTATGTTTTGGGTTCTTGTCGGAATGCTTTACAATTTTTTTTTTTTTTTTAAACATAAAATATTTTACCCGTCAAATTGAGCCGACGCTTTGGGTTCCCTGGACATATTTCCACGCCTCGCGCCGTTCTCGAGCTACCCTACCACTGCTGGCTGCATCCCATCGGCAGGTTGCCAAAAATTGGCACAACATAAGGGCGTTATTTACATTTTGACGTTGGCGGGCGGGCGGGC